GGACAGTGCAGACAGAAGTGTGTGTTGCTGGCAATAAAACACTGACTCTTAGGTTTACCATTGAGATTTTGTGTTAATAATCCCTCCTAAATATTGCGACTTTGCATAGACACTCTTTAAATATGGTGTGTGTGATAATAAGTTGTACAGGTACTCATTGAAAAAAAGCATATTTGCTGCACATGAAAGCTTCTTTTCATTGTTATTCACTTGTTTGGCAATATTTTAAAATTTTAAGCAAACTTTGTGGCACCAGACATCAGTGACCCACACAGCAACATACAGTGCTGCACAGAAGTCTTAAGACACCGCTCAAGATCACAGCTCACTCATTTTCAGTCTCATCATTAACTTGCCTATTTTCAGAGAAACATTTCTGGTTTGTAAAGCCATTTAGCACTTACTTTTGAATCATTAAAGCATACAACCCATGGGATGTACCCTCCGTGTTGTGTGTTGTGTCTGCACATAAGAGACAAGTTAGCAAAGAACAAATTTTAAATTGTATCTTTAGACCCTTTGCTTTTACTAGCCTGCCACATCACTATCACAAATTCTGTTCCCTTTTCATCATTAAAATTAATGAAACATGACAAAGATAACAGAGTTGGACAGGCGTAAAACAGTATTTTTGCACCAACAAGCTGATTCCCAAAGATTTCATGGCTCTTTTGGCATATCTCAGTGTGGTTTCCTTAAACAAAGGGGACAAAAGAAGAAGTTCCAGACCTAAAAGTTCAAATATAGCAGAAGAGCAGTATGTGAAAGTGACATCTTAAGACTTTTTGCACAATACTGCATGTACTCCTAATCCACAATCACCGAATTTTAGTGTCTTTTTTTAACCTTAAAAGAAAAATTGCTTAATAGTGTGTCATTAATCTCCCCAACTTTTTTAACTTCTTGGTTTCATTCATTTCATTTGATTGTCCAGGTCCAGTTACTTTTTATGTTTCAGCCTTTCAACCTCAGTCTGACCGCAAAATCCGACCACTGCTCTGAGGGAGTCTGCAAGTTGGCAGCATTATTAGTGGTCTAGTCATAGTCCATCCATCCATTCTCCAGCGTGTATTGGACATGAAGTAGGATCCAATCTGGACACACAATTTTCACTTCTACATGTAATTTAGAGCCCCCAGATAGCCAAACGTGCATGCCTTTGGACATCAGAGAGACACCCACGCAGGTAATGCAAACTCCACACGGAGAGGCCATACTGCTTAACATGATGGAAAAAACAGTTGCAGATAAGTTTTCTCAGCAGAACATGCGATACCTCCTAGTTAAGAACTAAATTAAAATCTATTCAGGCAGTGGTGGTGCCCTCAATTTTACCTCACTTCTCCTCCTTTTCATGCTCTTTCCTTCACTGCACAGGCTCCTGGATCAAAGAGTAGTATGCAAAACAGAAGCAGTGAATGAGATTGCAAAGTCCACACGTCTGACGTGTAGATTTGACAAACACCAGGGCATGCCTTAGACCGATTGTGCAGAAGAGTGAAATGTAAACAAATCAATAATAAATTATTGCAAACACATCTTTGCAGCGGGTGAGACTGCGTGAGGGTTGACACAGTGAAACCAGATGCTCATTCGCGTGTCGCTTTGCTTTGGCACATCTGCTGTTTGTCAGTGCAGCACTGGCTGACTGCTTTTAGGGAAATAATGCACATTGAAGACAGATGTTTCACTATGGATGCTGTCATGAATTTGTGGATGTATATATAGACTGCGCAAAAAGATGGATAAAAAGAAGAGAGACAAGGAATAAAGATCAAGTAGCAAAAGGGACAGGAAGACAGAAAGAAACGAGATGAAACTTAAGACGCTATTATTCAAAAATGACTTCAAGTAAGGACGTTAAAGATGGATAGACAGAAGAGACTGAGTGTGGTGGAGACGCAGAAGAGGTGAGGTGAAGCTGGATAGAGAGCAGGGAAGAGAGAGGGGGAGAGGTTGGTGAGAGGTGAGACACTGGCGTGATTTCAACACTGAGGTGATGAGCTGCTAGAGTGATAACAAGCTACAGATGGAAGCTGTCAGCTCACCTTTCCTCTCTGTTTGGGTGTGCTTGCTGGTGTCTCTGTGTATGTGCGCTCTGGTATTTATGTCGCTGCATTTTTGCTTTGGTTTGAGGAAGATTTGTGTATACAATCGAGTAATTTATGAGAAACAACGGGAGGGAGAAAGGCTGCTTTCAGTCTGAGTGGGTTTGTGTGCATGTAGGTGGAAACAGAATGAATCCGATTGTGCTGTGGAAAACAAATGGCCCAGAACTGCACGCACTTCATATTGAGAAAGAAGAAAAAAGAAGAGTTTGGAGTTAATGATGCAAAACATGTCGGACTTTTGAGAAAACACAAGACTGATAAATGCTATTCTCTGTCTATAAGAGATATTAATGTTGTCAGCAGCCAGGCTATAAATTAATTCTGCCCCTGATTAGAAAATACACAATTTTATAACATAAAGCCTTACATAAATTCTTTAATTATAAAGTCCAGTTCAAGTGCAGCAGCCACGTGGCTCTGGGGTTATGCTTGTTAAGAAGCCTAACAGCTTCATCTCTGAGTTGAAGCTGTCCCTGGAAATGCTTGGTTTGTGAAAATAAGCAAAGCAACAGTGCGGAGGATCTCTGTGTGGCAGATGTAAAAGTTGCAGAGGGTGGAAGAGACTGCTGAGCTTCAGCTACTGTCGGTTATCTTTCCTTCTGTCTCTCCAGCATATTTTTTTCAGCCCTGCCAGTTTCAAGAAATCAATCAGTCGTACTGCTCTCTTTGTCTGTCTGCCTTCTAATTATTTTCAGACTCTTACCAGTTGCTGAACTCTTCAATGTCTGCATTCCTTCTCTTACCAATTATTTCTTTCTTTCTCTAACTTTGTCTAACTTCCTCTCTCCCTACCTTATATTGCTATTGCTTGGCAATTTTCTCATTAATCAGCCAAACTTTTGGCTGTTCAGCAAAGACACAGGATGAAATGAATGTCAATATCAGTGGAAACCTCTTTGGAAGGCCTTTATGAGAGTGTGAGCTAAAACAAATAAATGGTGGATAAGTGATGAAATAATACCTGAGAAAGTAAAGCATACTTGCAGCACTGCTGAAAAGTGTTCATGCTTATGTATGTGGAAAAATGCTGATTTCTTATAAAAACAGCTCCATTGTGTGTACATGGCCCCAGTGATGGACAAGGTATCACCGGTACATAGGACCCTCCTGCCTCACTCAGTCAGTACTCACGCTGAGTGGCGAGTGACTCGGGCTCCCCCTCTCACTCTCTGTGTTTGTGCATGCTAGTCAGTGTGTATTGTGCTGAGTGAAAATGAGGAGAGAAATAACTGATGTGACAGA